TTTTCAGCGTTTCCAATTCTGCTTTTGTATATTGATCGATGTCTTATTCTGTTTACTTGTATGATTGATCAGTTAATCATGTATATAAGGACTTGAGAATGTTGAAAAGAAATGTCCCACACCTGTCGACTACGTCTTCAACTTGCCCCCCCTCGTCCAGCCTCACTGCTATCCCTAAACTTGCTGCAAAGTATTTTATCTTTGTATTGCGCTTGTTGGCTACGATGATTTTCATGTGTGACATTGTAGAGTTATGTTGGTTGTGACTTTATGCTGTTTGTTCCTACTATATCTTAAAAAGATTTGGTAGGCGTAAACCTTATCATTTTGTGGTGATGTGTGTTTTTGCTTACATTTGAGTTGTTATTTCAGATTTGAGTCCATGGGAGACAATTGGATCACTTGGTGTTCGTAACTTTGTGCTGGTCAAAAAGCCGCAGTCCGAGAATCCAATTCTTAATGGGAAACAACAGCGAATTCTTGATGGGAAACAAGTAGTTATGGCTCGGAAGGGATCTGGAAGTTGGAAGGCATGGTTCAATAAATCACTCAGTCGCAAGATAGTTTCATACTGAATTCACAGAGTCGACATGAAGTAATCTATAATTCTTGTTGTTTTTTTTCTATTCTTTTTTCATGTCTCTATGTTTGATCTTCTTGGTGTTTTCGTAATGAGAAATTAAACGTTTTATCAGTTCTTTAGCTTTGTAGTCTGTTGAAATCAGTCGTTCGAATAAAGCTTGGAGTCACTGTCAAGCCCTACTTGTTATATTCAAGTTAAAATAGATATTGATTGATTGTTACTACCTCTTTTGAAGAGCTTATGCTTCTTTTCTTATTTGGGCTTGTAGTAAAGTAAGAAAGTATATTCGTATCTATAGCGGTCAAGGTTGTGGCGTAATGGTCAACGAAATGAGTTAAGAATCATGATGTATCAGGTTTGAAAAACACTAGGTGATCTTTCTATCTGTTCTAGCCTTGATATACATAGTTACTTAGTATGTATTGCTGGTAGGAGATAATAGATATTATGTAAAATTAGTCGAGGTGCGCCGAAATTGGCCTGACGTAAAGGGGTGGACATGTCCCTTGAGCACTCCTATTCACATGGCTTTTTTTTAGGAGACAAGGCATTATGTCCCATTACTTGTCATGTGTTTAAGTCTTTTGGCACAAAAAATGGCTAGTTCACAATCCACATCCTAGTCACAATAGAAATTCAGAAGTTGTACCTAGTAAAAATTTAATAGGCATAATATATAAATATGTGCTTAGTATGAACTAGACATCTATGCCTTTCAACTTTAATTGTGAGATACAAGTAGACGTTTAAATTTTTATAAAGTTGAACAAGTAGACACACATGTCATACGTGACATAATACAAATAGAATGCACATAGGATTCTGAATTGCCATGTAGGACGTGTGTGTTTACTTGTTCAACTTTATACAAGTCTAAGTAAGTGCCTACTTCTTCATAAATATAAATAACGTCAAATTAAAAGACACATTTATATATTATGCCAATTTAATATGGTGTAATTTATCACAATTCTTCATGAATGTTAAGTACAAATAACAACAAAATGGAAAAAATTGAACTATTTTGATAAAAATAGAAATGAAGATTTACATTTCATTTCCAAATAAATAAATAGAGCATTTATTAGACCTTACTTGTATATGTTATTATACCCCTGTGATTCATTTTATTTGTCACGTTTTTCTTTACCCATTTCTCAAGAAAATATTGACTAAAGAAGTAATTTGATTAAATTATCATTATTTATTATTTGATCTTTAATTTAATAATATTATTCTGCTTTTTATGATACTAATCTCTCCACATTTATTGAATAATAAATAATTATTTATATCTTAAAAATCGAAATAACAACTATTTTGAACCAATAACTAACTATTCACATTGTTTTATATTACTTGACTCATGTTGATCTGCTTATTTTTAAGAAAACTTTAATTAGAAATGTATTTTTACTAAACAAACATTACGAATGATGCTTTGAAACTCTAAATTTGACTGCTATTACTTTATATAGTTATTCAATATTAAAGCTAATATATCAAAAAATGATAAAAGCTTTATTAGTTTGCTAAAATAAGATTTATTTTTAATATACAGATCAAGAAAAATGAAACAAACAAGAGTAGGTGTACAAGAAGTATATATATGCATTATTGGAAATGGTGACCTACTACTTTGAATTGGTACAATATCTGTTTAGATTGCCAATATTTATTACATAAAATATGTACATGGAAAGTTTGTATTAAATTAAAATTAGGAAATTATTATTGTTGAGAAGATGACCTAACAAACAATTTTTCCTACCAATTATCACAACCAAAACTTAATTCTCAATTCCTATTTTCAACATTCACATATAACATATTGCTATGAAATATAAGCAGAAGCACGCGATCTTCTTGAAGTAACAATTTCCGAGCTTCCTAAGCCTGAATTGCCACAACTCTCGAAGATCTCAACTTTACCAAAGCCTGAATTCCTTGAAATTCCAAAAATCGAGCTACCAATTCTATCAAAGCCCGAACTTCTAAATTAATTGTCTTTAAAGATCATTTTTGATGTAGTGATTGACTTTATAAACAAAAGAAATTTGTATTTTGATGGTTATATGCTAGCCAAGATATCAAAAGGTTAAATGGCTGAAAAGGGAATATGTTGGATACATTTTTTGCTGGCTATATTAAGGGGTACATTGAATAAATTAGATCATAGAAATGATATCTCATAATTACTTACTAATTTTATCCTTGAGGAACATAGTTATTTAGTATGTGTTGCTGGTGATAAATAATAGATATTCCGTAAAATCAGTCGAGGTGCATGTGTTTTAGTCTTTTGGCACAAAAAATGGCTAGTTCACAATCCACATTACTAGTCACAATAAGAATTCATAATAATTGTACCTGGTAAGAATTTAATAGGGATAATACATAAATATTCGCTTTAACTTTGCCTTAGTTAACATTTATGCCTTTCAACTTTGGTTGCGCACAAGTAGACATTTAAAATTGTTTAAAGTTAAACAAATATTGAATATAATGGTCAAATCAAAACAAAACGTTTATATATCACGCTAATTTGTTTTGTTGTTTTTGTTAAGTGGCTTGCAGAACTAATTCATTCTATTTTTATCATGATTCTTCATAAATGACGATTACTACTCACAAAAAATTGAAAAAAAAAGGGAATTATTTGATTTTGATCTTATTAGAAATGAAGATATACAATTCATTTCAAAATAAATAAGAATAGCATTGATTAGTGATAAAAGAAAGGAAAAAAAACAAACAAAATACCTTTCATTTTTCATTAGTCATCATTTAAAATGTAGTTTTAGCATATGAGAATAGATTTGTGAAATGCGATTTAAGAACTAATTCCTTTTTTCAAAATAAGAAGAGTTTGACGTAATCAATAAGATATTAAATGTTTTTTTTATTTAATTTTACTTTTATTAAATAATGAAAGTTTTAGGTAACAAAAAATACTTCCATTTTTTAGACCTTACTTATGAGACTATACTGTGTATGTTATTGTACCCCTCCGTTCTATTATGTTTGTCACGCTCTCATTACACGTTCCTTAAGAAAATGTTAACTGAAAGAGTATTTTAATTAAATTATCTTTATTTACGAGTTTAATAATATTCTGTTTTCACCATATTAATCTCTCGTCATTTGTTGAGAGATACTAGCCACAAGTATATTCAAAATATGAAGTTTACGAATTTCTTTAGCGACCCCAAGATAATATACAACAATAATTAGGTTCACTAATATAATGTTCTTATGTTTCTAGTGGCATAATACACATCATTTTTGTACTCTGAAAATTTCAAATCCTTGAGGTGGCTTTTCACCTTAGTCAATTTGTAAATCGTTATCACTACTAAAAATAGGAAATTGTTGACAGAAAAATATATTCTGTAGCCAAATAGCACAACTCATGGCTAATTCTATCTAGCTATGAGTATCAAAATAAAAGAGTGATCAAAAGCTTTCTCAATTTATAAGCTGGATTTTCAATTACATTATACACACTTTACGGGTGTTTTATTATCCTCTTGGACTATTTTAAAGCGGAATTATTTGTTCTTTAAATGTTGGTGTGGCAAAGGAGGTGTAGTTCACTCTCTCGAGGAGAGTGAAAGGTAAAAAGATAATTAAAATATTAACTTTATAAATATTTAATTTAAATCATATTAATATTCTATTTTTGTTTTTAAAAAAGTTAGTCTCGTGTTATTTTTTTTTATCATCTTTGTCTTTTCCCTTTAATCTTCGAAAAAATACACAAGTACCCCCTTAGGCTATGACCAAAATCCCAGAGACACACCTTAACCAAACTAAGGTCTTATTGCCTCCCCTAAACTTATTTTTTGTAATTTTGTGCACCTTTTGGCTTACGTGACATTCAAATATCTCCCACGCGCTTCAATTGAAATATCTCTCACGCGCTTCAATTGCGTGGAGTCACATAGTATGCCACAAGACAAAAAATGTATAAAATTTTTTAAAAAAGTTTAGGGGTAATAGGACCTTAGTTTAATTAAGGTGTCTCTGAAATTTCGATCACAGTCTAGAGAGATACATGCGAATTCTCCCTTAATCTTCATCAAATCCATAGATAATGGTGGCTCACCTCGACCACCAGGTCACCACCCTCCTCAATTTTTCATCATTAAGTCTCATCTTCAAATCACATACTTTTAATCATATCTCCAGTTTTCAAAACTTTGTAATTTGTTGGTTGCTCAGAATCAATATCAAAATTGAAAGTTAAAAGAATCAAAATTTAGACTAGTCATTAATGAAGGATTTCATAAAGTAATAGATTCAATTAATGGAGAAGAATCTATTAAAGGAATCATTTGGTAACAGAACCTTTGACGAAGAAGACCCACTTATTGAAATTGTTCCAAACATCAATTGAGTTTCTCATATCATTCTTTGAGAAAATGATATAATAGCGAAAGAAGAAGCAATTTTTCAGGGATAGAATTTTTCTTTTGTCTCTAGCTTTAAAGAACGATAATTCTTGGTGTTTAAAATTCCGATGAAGGTCGAAGATGCAGTAGTCATCAAATCTGCAGAAGCTTTCAAAGAAAAAGAAATAGAAGAATGGAAAAGAAAGAGAAAGAAGAAGACGAAAATATAAAATAAAAAAAGTAAACGGTAAGAGAATAGTTATTTTTTTCTTATATAAAAAATGGATGTATTGCGTGGCAATGCGTATTGACTACTGCCTAATACAAATCTATGCGTGAGTTTGTAGAGGGCTAGATACTTCACTTTTAAAAGATTCAGAGGGTGATAAGACCCCCAAAAAAATAGACGTGTAGCTAAAAATTCTATAATAGCTTGAGGGGCTTTTGGCCATTTTCTCAAAATAAAAATATTATTAGTTACTAGAGATTTAGCGATCATGAGTCATCTAGACTTTTGTAGTGCATTCATTTGCATTGAAATCTCTTATTGACTGTTGAATGTATGCATCATAGAAATGGACTAACAAGCAATCCATTGTTACATTTCGGAGATTTTATTCGATACATTATTATCGATTTTACAGACTTGCATACATATATGGAATTAAATAAAATTAGTTTCGAAACTTTTATTTTTGCTTAGCAATGTCCATCGACTCATCCTTTTATTCCAAGTACATTCATAATAATAATAATTATTATTATTATGTATCACTTGAGATTGTGAGTCCAATATCTTTAGTGGCACCAAGGCAAAATTCCATTAAATAGTGTGGATCTGGTACATTCACATTCTTCTTTTCATATTCCATGATCCAAGTAACTAAGTTGTTTTCACCCTTTGTCTCAACTTGAATAGTGCCATAAAATGATTTATAATACTCCAATAAATCACCTTCAATTACCTTCTTTTTAATCAACTTCTTTTCATCATCTATTTCTTCAATTACTTCCTTTACAAAAATCTCTTTCCCACCTGCAAACAAATCATGTACTAAATATTACATACTACTAATTTCGATTGAATCTGAATGGGTTAAAAATGGTTTGAATTAATAAAAATAATGGCCGGATAATGTCTAAACTTTTTTCGAAAAAAAATGATCTCCTTTAGCTTACTTACAATTTGAACAAGAAAAATTAATGACTCTGTTGAAGAAAAATGAAGTTGACGATGGGAACAACAAGTCAAAGAAATATGTCCAATACAACTGACTGACGTGTGATTTCTATAAACCCTACAAAAATAAATATTGAAACTAAATTTACCATAGGTGAATTTCCAGGATTTAACAGAGCCAATATTGCCTAATTCACCTTCATGAATATCCATATTTTGTATCTTATCAGAGCATATACTAAAGATATCACGTGGTTTGTACTTAATTATTTCATGAAACACATCTCCATTACATTTGATATTTATCTCAGAAATCAACTTCCCTTGAAGACTCATTTTTCTTCTATGATATATATCACAAAGTTTATTATAATAATAAGTATGTGGTTTATCATTACATGAGTAGCTCTGCCCTTTTATAGTTGGGCAATTCGATATGTCTAAACTTTGGACTATAAATTTCGTATTTTTTTTTATGCCTATACATATATTTTTAAATATTTTTTTGGCTTTAAGCCTATACATATATAATTAGGTGTGTGCATGTAACTATGCACCATTAATAGAGAAAAAAGATTATATGTAGTACCCAATAAGCTATTAGGTTAAGTTTCTAAGTGGTTCAAATTAGTTCATAAGCATATTTTTAAGCTTATCATATAATTGAAAAAATACAAAAAGTGCTTATAACTCAAGTTCTTATAATCCGAAATCAACCATAAGTTGGTTATTTTTAATTGAGAAAAGGGTCTAATACACTTTTCAACTTTGTCATTTAGAGTCGATATACCCCTCGTTATGAAAGTGGATGATATTTATCTCAACTGTTAGACAAATGAATCGATTTCATATAAACATTTCCTCTAACAGAAGTGACTTTTTAATTTCAATGACTAATTTAAATTTTTTATTTTTATGGTCAAATTTATATGTGTTTCACTAATTTTCTTGTAAAATTTACTATAATCGACCAGTTCTTTTTTTCAAATACAAAAACTAAATTATAATATAGCCAAAAAAACAAATTATAATTAACCACAAAAACTTAGTTTTAAATTTTTTCTTTACATTAAACAATGAAAGAGAAAAATAGAATAAGAATGAGTAACTCAAATAATGATAATCAAAGAACTCAAAAAATAATTTATGTATGAAAAGATTAAAATATAACTTGATATATATCACCGCATGATTTTTCTTAAAATCAAAATTCTAAAATATAAATTACGTTAAATGAAGGATATATATGAGCTCATTTTGTTACAGTAGGGGTATATGTGAGCCGTTTGTATAACGGTAAGAGTATATTGAACCACTTTCATAACAAGGGACGACATATCAGCTTCATATGACAAAGTTGAAGGATATATCAACCCCTTTTCCCCTACGCTTAACTACTTATTTATAAAGGAAATGATGCCTACACCCCCCCCCCCACACACAACTACTAAACACTATATCTCTTTTGTAAATTTGCTCTTGAGATTAATTTTAGACATGTTTTTATTAGAATTAGAGAGGGGACTGTGTCCACCAATGCTAATACTACTAATCTTTGTCTGAAAGAATAGCAACAGAAGAGGGATTGCCTTTAATGATGCAACTACAAGAAATTGGGGTTTTAGTGGCGATTGAAGCCTACAAAGTCGCCACAAAATCATTTTAGTAGCGACGTGAGCTCTGTGGCAACTGGCAAGTAACTAGTTCCATAACTAAATATTAGTTGCATTGTTCATTTGTCGTTCAATTCATCTATAAAAGCTTTTTCAGATATTTTTGTAAATTTAAAAGTTTTTTTTTCACTTTCGTTAGAGGAAAAGGCTAGTCCGTGGGGCTTGAGCAATGTAGATTGGATCAACTCGTAGGACAAATAAAAAATAAAGTGGAATACTAAAATTAAGTTAATGACAAAAGGAATTCTAACTTAAAATCTACTTGAACCAAAGTTTATAGATATTACAAATTAATATTTCTATTTGACTAGTTATGTTGTTAGTCATTAATTATTTAGTTTTTGTACTAATATCTCTATTTGGTTCGAGCCGTCTTGGATGAAATAAAGGCTTGCCTTCGGAGTCAGTATGATAAGTAGGTACCACCTGAGCTTAAAAGGAAGTTTTACGAAGTGGTGGTTAGACTATCATTGTTGTTTGGGGTGAAGTGTTGACCAATCAAGAATTTACATGTTCAGAAAATGCATGTTGCAGAGATCATGATATTGAGGTAGATGTGGGGATAGAAAGAGTGACAAGATTAGGAATTAGGTCATTCAGGAGATGGTGAGAGTGACCTCTATTGCGGACGAGATAAGGTAATCGAATTGAGATTGTTTAAGCATGCATGAGTTGAGGAGATGCGTAAGTGAGGAGGTGCAATAGGTTGGATGTAGATGGTAAGTGAAGAGGTAGGGGTAGATCGAAAAAGTATTGGGGAGAAGTAATTAGATAGGACATGACGGAATTCCATATTACCTAGGAAATGACTTTAAATAAGAGAGAGTGGAGATCGTGTATTAGGGCAGAAGGCTAGTAGATATAGAGTGATTTCTTGCCTTGCGAAGGTTTAGTATATGTCATAAGATTAGTCGTGCCCTTGTAATTTTGGCCATATGTTGTTTACTGTATTTCTATAAATCACATAATTATTTTGTTGTGATTATTATTTCTTTCTAGTTGACTTCATAATTTTTTTTATCTTATATGCTTTTTTCACTATTTTCTTCTTATTTTGCTTGAGCGTGATACACTTGAGCCGAGGATCATTTGGAAATAACTAATTTTTTCATATCTACTAGATAGTAGTTAGCCCTGCAAACACTCTATTCTCTCCATGCCCCCACTTTATTAAATTTCACTGGGTATATTATCGTTGATGAGTGCCTTTTTTTTCATAAAATTTTATTTTTCACAAATTTTAATTAGATGCATAATAAACATAAGTAGTTCATACTTTCACCTAAAAGCTGTCTAATATTGGGTGTATGTGTCAAAAAAAACCTACAATATATTAGTTAAATCATATATGACTCCTGAAATCTAAGATCAGTTTAAAACTATATAATGTTATGGTTTGAATTTGAAAGAATTTAATCTTCATGAGAAATCAATATAAAGTTACACAATATTGATTGTTTCAATTCTTTTTTTTCTTACAAATAATACTTTTATTCGTTTCAATCTGTTTGTTAGAACGTGGGAGAATATTAGAATTAGTAATAAATGGATTAAAATTACAAAATAACACATTAGCTTGAGTAATAATACTGATTTAAAATTATGGCGAATAAACCGAATCTTATGTATATAAATTAAATATAATTTTAACTATATATAAACATCGTATTGATAGAGATTTCAAATAAACCCTTCAGCCTCACCTAGCTACGGCCCTAGCCATCAAGACAAAGTTTCTTTACTTTTTCTCTAAGTTGAAAATTTACTTTTAAACCATTTTATTCCTTTCTCTTTGAATATTGTTATTAACTTGTTATTATGATCATATATATCTAACTAATAGTGATGACTTATACAAAAAAATAAAATTCCCTGTTTATAAAATGGAAAAAGTTGAAAGAAAAGCACATACTATTAGTTTTCAGCATAGAGAAAACAAACAAAAAAAAAAACTATAATGCAATTCAAATAACAATTTTTATTTTTTATTTATCTATAAAAATTAAATGTCCACTCGTTTTATTTTTGTTACAAGACATTTCAAAGCACACCCGCTCATAACAGACTTTGAGACAACACCTTAAATCCAATCATTTGGTATACATACATTGCCTTCCACTTTTTAAAAATGTTGTCGTATTTATATCGATTTCTTCAAAATATACTATTTTAAAGAATTCGACATATACTCGTCGACATTTTTAAAGAGTCCAAACAATTTATTTACAATATTTATGTATCACTTGATGTGGTGATTCTCAATATCTTTGGTTACATTAAGGAGTAATTCCACGAGTGTGTGTGGATCAGGCACATTAACATTCTTCTTTTCATATTCCAAAATCCAAGTAACTAAGTTGTTTTCACCCTTTGTCTCAACATGAATAGTGACATAAAATGATTTGTAATACTCCAATATATCTCCTTCAATTATCCTTTTTTTCATCATCTTCTTTTCTTCATCTATTTCTTCGACTCTCTCCTTTCCCACCACTTCTTTACCATCTTTAGAAAAAATTATATATATAGTAAATATTTCATACTATTAATTTCATTTTTAAATGATCGAGCGAGTTGGTTTGAATCTGAACAGATAAAAAGTGAGCTGACAACTATTGTTGGACAGAGCGAGTACAATTTTTCTCTTATATATTTTACAAAACTCATAATCTCTAATAATTTAATAGATTTGTTGTCCTAATAGATTTGGAAAAAGGAATATATTTTTTTTCCTTCTTGGAATGGAAATAACATTTTCCTTATAGGATTTATTTGTGATTGTGTGCTAGGTAACATTTTCCTAAAGTACAAAATGTATGAACCAAACATTTTGTGATAAAATATTGAAATGAAATATAATAAAGATTTATCATGGATGAAGTTCCAAAAGATAACAGAGCCAACTGTGTCCCATTTACCTTCATGAACATCCACATTTTGTACTTTATTAGGGGACATGGTGGAGATATGGTGTGGCCTCTGCCTATATACTTCATAAAAAACATCTCCATCACACTTGATGTTTATCTCAGAAACCAACTTCCCTTGGAGGCTCATTTTTCTTATATGATATGATATATCACAAAGTTATAATAAGAAGTGTGTGTTTCATCATTACATGAGATACTAATCCCTTTTATAGTTAGACAATGCCAATATTTCTAGGCTCTATCAACATTTTGATGATAGAGGTGGGTGGTGGGGGTGGTTAGTGATTGACAACGATGATGTGATTGACAATGATGGTGGTGGTTGTGGTGGCAAAGATGCCTAGTGGTGGTAATTAGTAATAAATGGATAGCATGATGATGAATATTATTCATATAAAATCTTTATAACTAAAACCTATTCAGAAGTACTTAAATCGTAATGAATACAAATGCACTAATAATCTAATATCTAAATCATTTCATATCAAACCTTCATTATTAGTTATGTCTCGCGTTCTTAAAGAACTTAAGTCACGCTAGGCGTAAGTTCATTTTTTAAGAGGTTGAGGGTTCAAGTCCCTCCTTCCGCTTCTGGCTTCATCGTTTTGTAGTAACAAGTGGAGTGCATAAGCCGCTGTAGTTATAAGGACAAAAAATTAATAATCAACTCATAAAAGATGAAAATTAAAGATCTATCCTTTTAAAGATAAATTTATGCAATTAAATGAGTATAAAACCGTTTGCATATTTTCTATTGGATCCTTAAGTAAAGATCAGAATTATGTTCATATTTTGGTCTGTTAAGAACTTATTGATCTATTATAAGGGGCCGATTATCTCATAAATATAATTATGCAGTGATTATACTAGCTTATATATGTTGTAAATAATATTAAAAAATATCATAGAATAACTAATATAAGAATAATTATGCCGGTGTTTAATAATCAAATTGTCATACGAGTACATTTTAATTTAACATAACACCAGAAACTCCTGTATTAGTAATGTATGAATTATTGTTTCTCATATGGCCAACCAAACATTCTATCTCTTTGACAAAATTTTATGTTGAGATTAATTATAGACATTTTTTTTTTATTAGGATTGGAGAGGGGACCTTGTGGTGAAGCAATAGCCATATAAGAGGGAATGCCTATTGTGTGAGATATCATCTAATGCTTTGACAAACTCATTAGACTTCATATTCTCTTTGCCTATACATATAAAATTAGGTGTGTGCATGTAATTACACACAATTATTACAGAAAGAGACTCTTTGGTTATATGCAGCTAATACCCAATACTTTTATATTTAGCATCCTACCCAAGACTACTTATTTTTATAAAGAAAATGATGTCTACACCCCCCCCCCCCACAATACACACACACAACTTAACACTATATCTCTTTTGTAAATTTGCTGTTGAGATAAATTATAGACATGTTTGTATTAGAATTAGAGAGGGGACCTTGTCCATGCCAATGCTAAATACTATATATCCTATTACTACTAATAATCTTTGTGATGAAGCAATAGCCATAGAAGAGGGATTGCCTACTGTGTGAGATATCAAATAATGCCTTTGACAATAGAAACTCATTCATTAATGATGCAACTACAAGAAATTGGACTTTTAGTGGTGACTAAAGCCTACAAAGTCGACACAAAATCATTTTTGTAGCGACCTGAGCTCCGTGGTGTTTCTTTCTATTTATCTTTTGTTGGTGTAGCTATTGTTTGTTCTCTTTTGGCACTTGTTGTGTAGTCATTAGAAGAATATTTGTAACCCTCTTATTGGTTATTGGTATAGTGAAGAAATTTGGATCTTGTCAATCCCGTGGTGTTTACCTTCGGTTTGAAGGGTTTTTCCACGTTAAACTTGGTGTTCTTATATTGTTAGATTTTCAATTTCATCTTTTTCGTCACAACAACTGGTATCAGAGCTAAGGTTATCTATATGGAGGGGAATATGAGCAAGATGGTATGTCTAAACGGAAGAAAGTACAACATATGGAAAAGCAAGATGAAAGATCTATTGTTCGTGAAGAAGATGCATCTTCCGGTTTTTTCTGCTCATAAACCCGAGAATGTGACCGATGAAAATTGAGAATTTGAGCACCAACAAGTATGTGGATATATAAGACAATGGGTTGAATATAATGTTCGCAACCATATTGTGAATGAGACACATGCTAGAACATTGTGAAAAAAGTTGGAGACGCTTTACGCTTAAAAAACTGGCAATAACAAGTTGTTCTTGTTAAAACAATTGATGACCTTTAAATACGAGGAGGGCAGTCCTATTCTTGATCATATAAATGATTTTCAGGGTATTCTTGATCAGCTATCAGGAATGGGTGTGAATTTTGATGATGAAATACAAGGACTTTGGCTTCTTAATACTCTACCGGATTCTTGGGAAACTCTTCGTGTTTCTTTAACAAATTCTGCCACTGGTGGAAAGGTGACTATGGAATATGCAAAGAGTGGTGTGTTGAATGAAGAGTTTAGAAGAAAATCTCAAGACACATCTTCACATTCAGATGTTCTATACACAGAAGATCGAGGGAGACATAAGACAAGAGATCTGAGGAGTAAAGGTAAAAGTAGAACCAAGTCAAAATTCAAGAATCTAAATATTATATGTTATCATTGTGGAAAGAAAGGACATATTAAAAGATTTTGTAAACAATTGAAGCAAGATCTTAAAGAAGGTTAGAAGGAAGAAAACAATGACAATAATATTGTTGTTATTGTCCAAGATGACATTCTCTTCGCTTGTGATAAAGACGTCATCAATTTTGTATCTCAAGATACAAGTTGGATAGTAGATTCTGGAGCTACATCACATGTCACACCAAGAAAAGACTTCTTTTCATCTTATACTTCTGTTAACTCTGAGGTGTTAAAGATGGGTAATGCTGGTGAGGTTAAGGTGTTTGGTGTTGGCACTGTTTATTTGAAAACCAATACCGGTTCAAAGTTGGTCCTTCAGAATGTCAAGCATGCTCCAGACATTCCCTTAAATTTGATCTCTGTAGGACAACTAGATGATGATGGCTATCATAATGACTTGTGCAATGGCCAATGGAAGCTTACCAAAGGCTCACTGATTTTAGCTCGAGGAAAAAAACATTCAAATTTATACCTGACACAAGGATCGATTCTTGGTGACTCTAAAAATTTGGTGAAGAGCGAGACTTTATCAATAATTGTGGCACAAACGGCTTAGTCATATGAGCGAGAGAGGGATCACCTATTTGGCTAAGAAGAATTTGCTTGCTGGTATGAAACAAGCAAAGGTGAAAATATGTGTTCATTGTTAGCAGGGAAACAGAAAAGAGTTTCTTTTCACAGTCATACACCTTCAAGAAAGTCTGAGCTATTGGAGCTAGTACACTCAGATTTATGTGGTCCTTTCAAAGTGAAGTCAAAAGGTGGTGCACTTTACTTTGCTACTCTCATTGATGATCATTCTCGGAAGATTTGGGTATATTCTTTGAAATCCAAAGATCAAGTGCTTGATGTGTTTAAACAGTTTCAAGCCTTATCTGAGAGACAAATGGGAAAGAAATTAAAATGTATTCGCACTGATAATGGTGGTGAGTATATTGGTCCCTTTGATTACTACTGCAAATCGCAAGGAATTCGTCATCAGAAGACTCCTCCAAAGACTCCTCAATTAAATGGTTTGGCAGAGAGGATGAACAGAACTTTAGTAAAGAGAGTTAGATGTGTGCTTTCAGATGCTAAACTTCCAAATTCTTTTTGGGCTGAAACACTTAACACTGTTGCTTATGTTAACAATTTGTCTCCTGTTGTTGCTTTGGATGGTGATGTTCCAAACAGAGTTTGGTTTGATAAGGATGTTTCTTATGATCACTTGAAAGTGTTTGGGTGTAAAACTTATGTGCATGTTCCAAAAGATGAGAGGTCGAAATTGAATGTTAAAACTAAGCAACGTATCTTCATTGGTTATGGTCAAGATGAGTTTGGATATTGCTTTTATGATCCAATTGATAAGAAACTCATTAGAAGTCGTGATGTTGTGTTCTTTGAAGATCAAACTATTGAAGATATTGACAATACTGAGAAACTAGATTCTCATACTGATGAGAGCTTAGTTGATGTTGATCCAATTCCTATTATTGATACATCTTCTGCACATGAGGGAATCCAAGGTAATGATCAAGATAATGATGAGAGTGTAGAACATATAATTGTTCCTACTGATGATGTTGTGGTTCATAATCAACCAACTCATGTTGGGATGACCGCTTCGGATGCTCCAGAAACCTCTTGTAGAAGATATACTAGAGAGAAGCGAAGCTCAACACGTTATTCTCATGATGAGTATATTCTATTGACTAATATTGGAGAACCTGAAGGTTATGGTGAAGTCATGTTAGATACTCATAGAGATAAGTGGAAAGAACTCATCGTAGACAATCATGATTTTTGTAGAAGTGTGGCAGGCAGGAAGCCTGTCAAAAGTTCCTCCACTTGAAGTCCATTTGGCCCCTTGGCTGGAGGGGGAGTTTGTTGGGCTATTGCCCATGTTCCAGCCAAAGGCCCATGGCCTAATCCTACTTGGAAAAGGATTGGAATTATTCTCTTTATTTGGTTTCCAATTCTATTAGGAAAAGGATTTGAATAGTAATCCTATTTGTAGTTGGTTTTGGCTTTGTAAGAAAAAGCACAACTCTATAAATAGAAGATGGTTTTGAGAGAATAATTAATTGCTCATTGGTACTGTCTTTGAAAGACATTAGAACATAAGAGAGGTTTTTGAGAGAGCTTTCAACTAGAGAAAAAGAGAGAAAGAAAAGGTTCTTTTGCTGCATTCTTTTTCTCCGACCAGCAACGTTCAGATCATGTTTCCCGATTAACTAACTGTTGGGTCGGGCTGAAATTTGTACTGAGTGTTCCTGACATCTTGGTGGTTGATTTGAACGGTGGAGATCCGATTCAGAGGTTAACAAGATCCTAATTTAGGTCCCGAACAAGAGCTGGGTTTGGGTGGTGTTTCTTTCTATTTATCTTTTGTTGGTGTAGCTATTGTTTGTTCTCTTTTGGCACTTGTTGTGTAGCCATTAGAAGAATATTTTTAACCCTCTTATTGGTATAGTGAAGCAATTTGGATCTTGTCGATCCCGTGGTGTTTACCTTC